GTCACGCACGGAACGCCGTCACCCTGTCGGATCGACTTCACCTTGAGCTTTGGCCTCATTTCCTCTTGAAGACCCCCAGGCTCTTTAGGACTTTCCTCGACCTTTCAGGATCTGGGTTTCTTAGGCAGGCGTGTGGCATGTGGCATTCAGTTCCCTACACCAAATCATAAGTGTGTGTTTGCTGTCGTGTGCTTTGTTTGATGTTGTCATTCCGCGTCACTGTTTGTTTGTCTGCTCTCGTCTTTGTCCTCTCTTGGGTTGTCGTTATGTTTGGTGTTGTCATGTTGTGTGTAATCGTTCAATTTTAGCTGTTGCAGTGCTGTCAAGTGTCATTGCGTTGCCGTGTTTGTCATTGTGTTGTCAAGTGTCACTCAGGCGGCGGAGCAAGGACGGGACCCTGGGTCCGGCCCTTTTTGGGACCGTTGGCAGCATGTGTTGTGCCAATGGTTGGTGTTGTGTTTGTCATTGTTTGTTGTGTGCTGTTCTGCATTTCATTGGACTGGCCAGGCACTGGGTAATGCCCTGCAGCAGCAAACGTCACGATAGGGCAGGTTGTGGGTATCCAAAATATAGCTACCCAAATCCTGTCGGGTGTGGAGCAATTGATTGAAGGCAAAACAAGCCGGGGTTGATGAGCCTGGAGACGTTCAGGGCAACTAGAAACAGAAACGATGAACAGAAGGGTTAGCAAGGACGCTACTAGTAGCTCCTGGTATTACTACTAGGAACAAGAAGCTACTAGGAACCAAGGGCATCGCTACTAGGAGCAAGGATGCTACTAGTAGCTCCTGGCATTACTACTAGGAACAAGAAGCTACTAGGAACCAAGATGTTACTAGTAGCTCCTGGCATCGCTACTAGTAGTAAGAAGCGACTAGTAACAAGAGCATTTCTACTAGTAGCAAGGACGCTACTAGTAGCTCCTGGCATCGCTACTATATAGTCATAAGAAGCTACTACTAACAAGGGCATTTCTATATACTAGTAACAAGGACGCTACTAGTAGCTCCTGGCATCGCGACTAGTAATAAGAAGCTACTAGTAACAAGCGCATTTCTACTAGTAACAAGGATGCTACTAGTAGCTCCTGGCATCGCTACTAGTCATAAGAAGCTACTAGTAACAAGGGCATTTCTACTAGTAGCAAGGACGCTACTAGTAGCTCCTGGCATCGCTACTAGTCATAAGAAGCTACCAGTAACAAGGGCATCTCTACTAGTAGCAAGGACGCTACTAGTAGCTCCTGGCATCGTTACTAGTAATAAGAAGCTACTAGTAACAAGGGCATTTCTACTAGTAGCAAGGACGCTACTAGTAGCTCCTGGCATCGCTGCTAGTCATAAGAAGCTACTAGCAAGAAGGTCATTTCTACTAGTAGCAAGGACCCTACTAGTAGCTCCTGGCATCGCTACTAGTAATAAGAAGCTACTAGTAACAAGGGCATTTCTACTAGTAGCAAGGACGCTACTAGTAGCTGGACGGGTCGGCGAAGCGTTCCGGAGTCAGAGGAGAAGCGAGCCTTAACGACCTCTGCATCAAAAGGAACAGCTTGCTCTGCAACCAAAGCATACTCTGATCACGCCGGTGCTGGCGGCCCAGGCCTTTCAAGCTGATCTGGAGGTGGTGACATTGAAGGTGGCACTGCCTTCGCCAATGAGTCTATGGACACATGCAACTCGTATACAAACACACAATACCTGCTCTAAAAAGAACTACTGCATATTATGCTACATCATTATGCTGCCAGTGCTTTGGCGAAGGCAAATTCTCAGGCACCAGAATCTGGGATCGCAGCTGTGTGAAGAATCTTCGTCCCATTTCTAGTCTAGATGGAGACTGATGTTATTTGTACATTGGAACAGCGCGGGCGCGACTTCTTGCTATTGAAATTCAACACCATCACCCTGTCATTGAGCAGGCAGCGTCAGTTGGCAGGATGGTGTTGGCTTGTTCCGTCTGTTTGTGGACGGAGTATCTACCGCGAACAGGTGATCAGGCTCAGCAACGAGACTAGTAGTAACAAGAAGCTAGTAGTAACTCTTAGAGATAGATCGCTTCTCTGTCACCCGAACAACAACTAGGAAGCTACTAGGAACAAGTGCCACGCTACTAGTAACAAG